CACCCTTTAAAATGCAACAAAGAAACCTTCATTTAACATTGAAATGTCCAGAACCAGAACTTCTAAATGAATAAAAATAACAAACAAAAATTAAATAAAAAAGGAATCTCACTCCCTGTTAGAAAATGTTGCACCAAAAACAATAAAAAAAAGACCCAAAACAATAAATACAATGGCCTATCCATTGTCAACAGCCAAAACTGCACTTCAATAAGGATGGAAAAATTATTGAGATGGGCACGTGACGTGTCAAGGGGTCTTTACATAACACCCCCCACCCCAAATCCGCACAAGCCTGCTGTGTCCCCCCCACTTCTGAAATCAAAATTTCGTCCCTGTATACATGTGATAGAATCAAATCACCCCAGAAGCCAGTCCCACATCCAGGGCCGTATCAAGGCCTTTTGGGCCCAAGGCAAATATAGGCTTGGAGCCCCCACCACCCCACTCTCTGCTCAGTTAATATAAGATGGCAGCGTGCTGAGAGTAAAGATTGTTGTTGCTTTTATTTAATAAACAATCATTTTAAAGCACTGTTATTATATCTGACTGTTTTTAACAGCAATCCTAGCTCAGACACCACATCACCTTCCACATATATGTCATGAGCTCACTGAGCATCACATGACCAGATTCATATTGAAGTTGTTTTGGTGAAAGTAACTTAAAGTAATGCAAACGTTGTGTAATGCCTTACATTTTAAAATCAGTAATATTGTAATGTAATTAATTACTTTAAAATGAGGGTAACAAGTAATAAATAATGCATTACAGTTTTGAAGTAACTTGCCCAACACTGGTTTTGAGTAGGGATGAGCGAGTACACCACTATCTGTATCTGTTCAACCATCTAAATGATCCGTATCTGTACTCGGAGTGGGCGTGGCTGACCTCTAATAGATTAAAAAAGAGTTTATTTATTTATTATTATTTATTTTTGGAGTTTTTTTATTGAAAAATGTAAAACAAACCTATACCCTGCTGTACGTTGGTTCTGTTCAGTTTAAAGAAAAGCAGCAGGGAATAGTTAAATAAAAACTACAGAGAATTTACAGTTTTTAAGACAAATCTAATCATTATTAGGCTTAAGTTGAATAAACAAATGCACATTGAAAACACTTCAATGCTATTTTATTTAAAAGCCTGTTTTTTAAAGCATTTTACCCCTATTTGATGCATAATAAGAAGTTCTAAGGTCCAATTTACATTAGAAAACTTCCTACTGCATTCAACAATTATAATGGATTTGGTTTATATTAATTACCTACATGTTAGTACTCTATAGAAATGTGTTGTGTACATTTAACAAGTTCATTCTGTAGCTTAAAACATACATGAAACCATCTAAAGTTAACATGTAAGTCCTGAAAGCTTCTAGAATAAACAAAGTTACTTTACCTGAAAACGGTCGTGAACAAACGCTGCTGATGGACGTGAAGCTGCTGTAGCTCCTTAATATTCCTGCTCGATTTTTGCTAGCTTTAGCATTTTTCCTTTGCTTGTAGCTGCCGCCACGGCTGTGACGGGACCTACGGGCCACCGTAGAGGTGAAGGCTAGACTGTCCGGATTTAGAGCCGCTGGGTTCTGGTCTTAGCGGTCTAGCAAGGACCGGCGAGGACCCGTACTCATAAGAATTCTGCCCGTGGATTTGGACACACCCATTATTGCATTTCCACGAGATTTTAATGCGTTTCCACAAGATTTTAATGCATTTCCACGAGATATTAATGCGTTCCCACGAGATTTGAATGTGTTTCCATGTGATATTAATGTTTTTGAATTACTAATTGGTGTATTAATTGTGTCATGTGCGACTGCACATGTGTGATCAACTGCACATAACTGTCAGAGGCACACCTGTCGGACAACAGGAGTTCCAACGGGGTTAGCCTTTTGAGTTCAGTTAAATGTTTTCGGTGGGACACAAGGACACAGCGGCTCAACATGACTTGAGTTATGCGATGGGGCCTTACCTCCTCCTCTGCCACAGTTGCCCCACTAGTAAAGCTGTTTAAATCTCTGCTTTAGCTGCATTCTGTTACATTTAGTTAAAAAACAAAATTGTGTGGTTGTTGGGGGTGAGGAGAAAGACCTGTTAACTTGTTAGTAAACAGGTCACTCAGATGGTACTTTCAGTCTCTAAGGTCGTGTTTCTTCACATGAATCAGACATTTCTGGAAGGAGCGAGGGAGTAAGAGGAGATGGAGGGAAGGGCGGAGGCTGGACCACTAGCAGGCAGGAAGTAATGGACTCTTTATTGAATTAAATGCTCCACAAAGCCAGAGCAGTCATTATCCAACTGCGATCCCGACTCACAGCATCCATTATCCTGATTGGCTGCACACCCATTCCTCAAAAGTCCGTCTGTAATTTGATGCTGACTCATCCTCTGTAGCGGGGGCTGGACTGAGGGTTTCTCCGGAATCACCATCTATTAATCAGCAAATGTTCTATAAAATTCAGTTTATACCTACAGAGCCGACTCTGGAGTCAAGAACGAAGAGCCCATCCTTCAGAGGAACATTCAACTCCTGCAACCTGGAGTTCACCGACGTGTTCAGAACCAGGATAGAAAAAGGAACATGAAAAGCTGCTGCAGCTCTACAGAAACCACACATCAGTCCTGATAAATCATCTGATTTCTGGACCATAAACATGTAAGCGCACTCTCAGCCTGACTGGATTTATTCATGTGACCTGAACCTACAAGAAAAACATGCTAAATGTGCTACTATGACCCTTTGCAGAGTTAATGAAGTCACCCAGCCCCCTTGTCTCCTTTGGCCAGAATACTGCAATTTCAGAGTATCTGGACCACTTTCTTGAAGTCTCACAAAGTCATGCTTTACAGTAATCCATGCTTACACCTGGTTAGTAACGCGTTTATCATGGTGGAGCCTCAGATGAAACCTGCTGCTGCTGGGTCTGTCATCACCAGCATTCTGAATCCACGATGGGGTTTGCCGACACGTTAAAGCCTACGGTCACATGATTCCTCCTCTCAGGAAATCTGTTAGTGGCTAGCTGACTAGCTAGCGCTGGAGTGTGCTTCAAGCACATTTCCTGCTGTTCAGCTGTTAGATGAAGGTGTTAAAAACAGCTTAGTCAGATTCTTATCAGTCCCTGTTTTATAATTGAATCATTGAAAAATTTAAAATGATTCCCTACGTTTAATAAATAAACTCCACCTTTATGAATCGGGGTGATTTGGATGTTTGGTCTTGTATTAATAAACAACAGTTAGGGTCTGGTTTACCCCAGCAGAGTTCTGCTGTTTCTGCTGATTATCTATTACCATTAGAAGAATAAAACGTGTCCTCTGGAGGCAGAGCTTTGAGGGACGTTTTAGCATTAAACCCACAGGATGTGCTGTCATGGTGGATTAACACAAAGCCAATCTGCTCAGACAGCAGCAAACTCAAACCTGACTTTCTTCTTTCTGGTTTGATGGCGGATAGCATAAACAAACCGTGACCTTGAGGGATTTTGTAATTCCTCCAGGGGGAGAAGATCAAGGGCACCTTGATCAGCTGACTCCCTTTGATGAGGAGCAGCACTTCTCTGAACTCCCCCCAGATGACTGAGCTCCTCTGGATCACGAGCTGTTTAGATGATCCAGTAGATCCTGAACTTCACCACTCAGGTCCGTCTCCATGACAACAGAATGATTCTGCACACACCCAACCACACACACAGTGCACTGCCTCAGCAAGTCTAGCTGCCATAACAGAAACAGGAAAAAAGCTCATTCAACACGCTTGACCCTACGACCTTCAGCCTCTACACCACTGATCCTAAAGTGGGAGCAGCAGGAACAGGTGGATATGTTCAACATGGCAGCCAGAGAACTGCAGCTTTGATGCTGATTAGGCAGGGGCCACACGCTGGGCCATCTTCTGAGAGACTAATCCTGTCCCAGATGTCCCCAATCCATCCATCAGCCTCCACCCAGGACCTCTTTAAATGTGACACATCTTCTTGCTATCAGGAACTGGGAATGAGTCAAAGCTCCATGATTTAGTCACATTCGTTCAGAAGATCTGCAGAAATCAGCTGATTAACAAACATCTGGCTTCAGTGTCTGCTATGATAAGGATGTACACACACACACACACACACACACACACACACACACACACACACACACACACACACACACACACACACACACACACACACACACACACACACACACACACACACACACACGCACACACACACACACCACTCAGACTTTATACCCAATCAGCTAGCAGCTACCATTTTGGTTGTACTCACCACTCTGGCCTATCCATCAGGTTTAAATATTGGAACGGCACCCGTTTGAAGAAGTAATCCATCTGAAAACCCACTCTGGTACTAGTGGTGGTTTAACAAACAGTCTGTGACATCATGGTCACATTCTGAGAGCTCCTGAAGATACATTCCAGCCGTTTCTGCAGATAAACTCTTCTTCAGGACGACTGTACAGGAATCTTGTTCCTCTTGCAAACAAAAAGGCATGTTTGTATTCTAGGCTTTATGTAAAGTGCAGACTAGGTAAAAAAAAAATAACCCTACTAGCTACACAGAGACATTGGGCGTTAGTATTCACAGTCCAGGGGAGGAGAGATCCCTGACTCAGCATTATTTGAAGCGGGTCGTGATGACACAGCAACGCCCATCCAGCTTTTTGCAATAGCTAGATCTGAGACAGAAAAATGCATGAGTGAATCACTAACAGGATGTTGGGGGTGTTTTCCACAATGAAATAATGAAACAAACATTGTCACAAGCACCAAAGGGAGATTTTTGCATGATACAGTCCCTTAAAAATGAGACCCTTAGTCTTAGATTAAGACTGGATTTTACTGTAGGTAAAGGACAGTTACAGTGAATGTGTGTTCACCATGAAAGCGTGAAGGCTACTTTAGTGATATGTCTCTTAGTCTTGGATTCTGCTGACATGAGAGTCAAACCACTTTTGTGTGAAGACACATTTAACAAGGTTTAAACTCACCGAGAAGACGGATCAGATCTGAAGAGGTGGACTCATTCTCTGGAGATGTCCTGCAGAGAGAAGAACATGGCTTCAATATCATCATCATCATTGACACCGTCATCATCACCGAAATCATCATCAACATCATTATTATCATCATCAACACCATCACTATCATTATTATCATCGACACAATCTCTACCATTATTATCATCGACGCAATCTCTATCATTATCATCATCGACACCATCTCTATCATTATTATCATCGACACAATCTCTACCATTATTATCATCGACGCAATCTCTATCATTATCATCATCGACACCATCTCTACCATTATTATCATCGACACAATCTCTACCATTATTATCATCGACGCAATCTCTATCATTATCATCATCGACACCATCTCTATCATTATCATCGACAACATCTCTATCATTATCATCATCGACAAATCTCTATCATTATCATCATCGACAAATCTCTATCATTATCATCATTGACAAATCTCTATCATTATCATCATCGACAAATCTCTATCATTATTATCATCGACACAATCTCTATCATTATCATCATCGACGTTATCATCGACACCATCACTATTATTATCATCATCGACACCATCACTATCATTATCATCGACACCATCACTATTATTATCATCATCGACACCATCACTATCATCGACACCATCACTATCATTATCATCGACACCATTATTATCATCATCGACACCATCACTATCATTATCATCGACACCATTATTATCATCATCGACACCATCACTATCATTATCATCGACACCATTATTATCATCATCGACATCATTATTATCATCATCGACACAATCTCTATCATTATTATCATCGACACAATCTCTATCATTATTATCATTGACACCATCTCTATCATTATCATCATCAACACCATTATTAACATCATCGACACCATTATTATCATCATCGACACAATCTCTATCATTATCATCGACACAATCTCTATCATTATCAACATCAACACCATCTCTATCATTATCATCATCGACACAATCTCTATCATTATCATCATCGACACAATCTCTATCAGTAGCATCATCGACACCATCTCTATCATTATCATCATCGACACAATCTCTATCATTATTATCATCGACACAATCTCTATCATTATCATCGTCGACACCATCTCTATCATTATCATCATCGACACAATCTCTATCATTATCATCATCGACACCATCTCTATCATTATCATCGACACCATTATTATCATCATCGACACCATCACTATCATTATCATCGACACCATTATTATCATCATCGACACCATCACTATCATTATCATCGACACCATTATTATCATCATCGACACAATCTCTATCATTATTATCATCGACACAATCTCTATCATTATTATCATTGACACCATCTCTATCATTATCATCATCGACGTTATCATCGACACCATTATTATCGTCATCGAAACCATTATTATCATCATCGACACCATTATTATCATCATCGACACAATCTCTATCATTATCATCATCGACACAGTCTCTATCATTATCACCATCGACACCATCTCTATCATTATTATCATCGACATAATCTCTATCATTATTATCATCGACACAATCTCTATCATTATTATCATTGACACCATCTCTATCATTATCATCATCGACACAATCTCTATCATTATCATCGACACCATTATTATCATCATCGACACCATCACTATCATTATCATCGACACCATTATTATCATCATCGACACAATCTCTATCATTATTATCATCGACACAATCTCTATCATTATTATCATCGACACAATCTCTATCATTATTATCATTGACACCATCTCTATCATTATCATCATCGACGTTATCATCGACACCATTAATATCGTCATCGACACCATTATTATCATCATCGACACCATTATTATCATCATCGACACAATCTCTATCATTATCATCATCGACACAGTCTCTATCATTATCACCATCGACACCATCTCTATCACTATCATCATCGACACAATCTCTATCAGTAGCATCATCGACACAATCTCTATCATTATCATCATTGACACAATCTCTATCATTATTATCATCGACACCATCTCTATCATTATCATCATCAACACCATCTCTATCATTATCATCATCGACACAATCTCTATCATATTATCATCGACACAATCTCTATTATTATCATCATCGACACAATCTCTATCATTATCATCATCAACACAATCTCTATCATATTATCATCGACACAATCTCTATTATTATCATCATCGACACAATCTCTATCATTATCATCATCAACACCATCTCTATCATTATCATCATCGACACAATCTCTATCATTATCATCATCGACACCATCTCTATCATTATCATCATCAACACCATTATTATCGTCATCGACACCATTATTATCATCATCGACACCATTATTATCATCATCGACACAATCTCTATCATTATCATCATCGACACAGTCTCTATCATTATCACCATCGACACCATCTCTATCATTATCATCATCGACACAATCTCTATCAGTAGCATCATCGACACAATCTCTATCATTATCATCATTGACACAATCTCTATCATTATTATCATCGACACCATCTCTATCATTATCATTATCGACACAATCTCTATCAGTAGCATCATCGACACCATCTCTATCAGTAGCATCATCGACACAATCTCTATCAGTAGCATCATCGACACCATCTCTATCATTATCATCATCGACACCATCTCTATCATTATCATCATCGACACAATCTCTATCAGTAGCATCATCGACACAATCTCTATCAGTAGCATCATCGACACAATCTCTATCAGTAGCATCATCGACACCATCTCTATCAGTAGCATCATCGACACCATCTCTATCATTATCATCATCGACACCATCTCTATCATTATCATCATCAACACCATCTCTATCATTATCATCATCGACACAATCTCTATCATATTATCATCGACACAATCTCTATTATTATCATCATCGACACAATCTCTATCATTATCATCATCAACACCATCTCTATCATTATCATCATCGACACAATCTCTATCATTATCATCATCGACACCATCTCTATCATTATCATCATCAACACCATCTCTATCATTATCATCATCGACACCATCTCTATCATTATCATCATCGACGTTATCATCGACACCATTATTATCGTCATCGACACCATTATTATCATCATCGACACCATTATTATCATCATCGACACAATCTCTATCATTATCATCATCGACACAGTCTCTATCATTATCACCATCGACACCATCTCTATCATTATCATCATCGACACAATCTCTATCAGTAGCATCATCGACACAATCTCTATCATTATCATCATTGACACCATCTCTATCATTATCATCATCGACACAATCTCTATCAGTAGCATCATCGACACCATCTCTATCAGTAGCATCATCGACACAATCTCTATCAGTAGCATCATCGACACCATCTCTATCATTATCATCATCGACACCATCTCTATCATTATCATCATCGACACAATCTCTATCAGTAGCATCATCGACACAATCTCTATCAGTAGCATCATCGACACAATCTCTATCAGTAGCATCATCGACACCATCTCTATCATTATCATCATCGACACCATCTCTATCATTATCATCATCGACACCATCTCTATCATTATCATCATCAACACCATCTCTATCATTATCATCATCGACACAATCTCTATCATATTATCATCGACACAATCTCTATCATTATCATCATCGACACAATCTCTATCATTATCATCATCAACACCATCTCTATCATTATCATCATCGACACAATCTCTATCATATTATCATCGACACAATCTCTATCATTATCATCATCGACACAATCTCTATCATTATCATCATCGACACAATCTCTATCAGTAGCTTCACCGACATCATCTCTATCATTATCATCATCGACACCATCTCTATCATTATCATCATCAACACCATCTCTATCATTATCATCATCGACACCATCTCTATCATTTTCATCATCGACGTTATCATCGACACCATCACTATTATTATCATCATCAACACCATCATCAACACCATTATTGTCATCATTAACATCATCACCATCATCATCAACATCATCGCTATCATTATCATTATGGACATCATCCCTATCATTATCATCATCAACATCATCATCATTATCATCGACATGACCGACATCATAATCATCATAGACATAATTATCATCATCATTAATGACATCATCATCATCATCACTAACATCAATGACACCACTGACACCAGGGTTTAGCCCAGCGCGTCATAAGCCTGGCGGCCCACCAGGCTAAGCGTCATGCCCCGCCCCCCTCTCCGACCCTACCGTGTCCGCTGACACGAACGGCGCAACGAAACTAGAGCCCTCCATCAGCTGATATTGGTGAGAAACAGCAGCGGAACGTGTGCAACCACCCCACCCTCACTCTCACGGAGGAGTGCTTCGGGACAGAGCGCGTAACCCTTGGACAAGTTGAGTTTGACTATGAAGTAATAATACAGTAGCCCTAATCTGGAGGAATAATTCTTATCCAGGAGCTTAAGTAAACCAGGTTCCTGGACGAGTGCAGACAGAATCAGGATGTGTTTTCCATATTCTTTTGTTTGTTGGATAGAAATGTTCAGAATGAAGAGCTTACATCTCTGACTGGTTTCCATTCTCAGCTGTTTAACGATCCTACATCCTGACAGCCGTCTCACCTGTTGTCAGAAACACAATCTCTCCAATTATCCACTCCACGTTTGTCTCCCTAATTACAGATCGTTGTGTGTTTCCGTTTACTTGCAGCGTGCTTCTCATTAAACCTAATGATGTTATTCCGGAGTTGGCAGAAGGGGATCGCAGATTGGTTTTGCTCAGATCAATCCTTCTTCTCTCTGTCTTTTTTTTCCTCTAAAACACTTGATGTTCACAAAAACCTGCTTCCGTTGTTTTGATGAACAAACAGGATGAAG